TACATACACACACATATATATACATACACACACATATATATACATACACACACATATATATACATACACACATATATATACATACACACATATATATCTATACATACACACATATATATCTATACATACACACATATATATCTATGCATACACACATATATATCTATGCATACACACATATATATCTATACATACACACATATATATCTATACATACACACACATATACATACACACACACATATATATACATACACACACATATATACATGCGCACACATATACATGCGCACACATATATACATACACATATATATATATACATACACGCACATATATATATACATACACGCACATATATATACATACACACACACATACATACACACACACATACATACACACACACACACACACACACACACACACACACACACACACACACACACACACACACACACACACACACACACACACACACACACACATACATACATACACATACACACATGTATATATATATATATTATTATTATTGTTATTATTATTATTATTATTATTATTATTTGAAATGACTGGTATTAGTTAAATTTTAGTAGTTATCAGTACAAGAATTAGTTATCCATATAAGTAGGTAGATTTATTGCAGAGTATAAAGATAATCATTATTTTGCATATTTATCTGTATATTTCTCACTGATGCATATAATGTTGGCTTTAAATCTTCTAATTTCTGACTAGTGCACCTTCTTTTTATGTAATATTACGTCTCATACATCAGACCTGATGTAAATTATTCCTTGTGTGAAAATGTGAGCAAAAATAAATGAAAGGAATGTCATTATTTTCACGTTTTTTAACATGTACCTCCTCACAGCAGGCCATGGAACTAATGTGTGAGAAGGTAATTGCCTCAGCTGGGCAGCACTTGAGTCCTGGAGATGCTCTCCGAAGGGTTTTCGAGGCTCTGGCATCTGGTCTGCTCTTACCAGGTTCTCCTGGGCTCCTTGACCCCTGTGAGAAGGACCCTGTTGATGCTGCTTCGTCTCTGTCAGCCCAGGAGAGGGAAGACATTACTGCTTCTGCACAGGTAGGCTTGCTTGTTTCTTTCTATTATTATTAAAAAATATATATATAATATATATACATATGTATGTGTATATATACATATGTATGTGTATATATACATATGTATGTGTATATATACATATGTATGTGTATATATACATATGTATGTGTATATATACATATGTATGTGTATATATACATATGTATGTGTATATATACATATGTATGTGGATATATACATATGTATGTGGATATATATATGTATGTGTGTATATATTCCTGTGTATCTCTCTCTCTCTCTCTCTCTCTCTCTCTCTCTCTCTCTCTCTCTCTCTCTCTCTCTCTCTCTCTCTCTCTCTCTCTCTCTCTCTCTCTCTCTGCCTCCCATCAGATTACCTTGTAAGTTTGTTTGTATTTTCTTATTTATTTATTATTTTCTTCACAGCATGCCTTAAGGTTGATTGCCTTCCGACAAATCCACAAGGTCCTAGGCATGGATCCTATTCCTCCACCCAAGTTCCAAAGAGGTGGACGCTTTACCCGCAAGAGACGAAGGGACAACTCCTCGGGCGAGGGTAATGACTCCGAGGGTGAGTTGGACGGTAGGCATTAATCCAAAGCTTTTGTTGTTTGAGATTGAGGTAGGTCGTGTCTTGTGTTTGTATGTAACTGTATGAAAGAGTTAGGAGAGAGAAAAGTGATATTAGGAAAGGAATGTGAAAATAGAAAGTGGAAAGAGCGTGATTGTTCTACTAGATCCAGATGCCATCACGTGGCTCAAAATATGGGCATTAGACTTACTTGAGTGGCCACACTGACAGGTGCACAGCATGTAGGCTAGGCACACACAAACACTTGTGTACAGTGACAAGACTTCATGCCTCCCCTTTATTTTCTTTATGCATAAGTATTTTCTTTTTCTTTTTTTTACATTCACTTGTCTATATTTGATGTATCCAAATGGTAAGAGACTTGTTTTCCTTGCACTGACTTGTATACTCATGACAAGTCATTCTCATAACCCTGGGCCAGGATACTCCAAACAACTCGTCCCTTATGAGGGCGTTTGATTTGCAAACCCTTGGTATTACTTATCCCAAAAGTATTTCCTATATTTTAACATTGTGTTGACACTGTTATATATATATTTTTTTTTTTTGGCATCGTTTTGGCATCGGGGGTGGGGGTGTTCATAAAATCATTGGTCAAAAATGTATAATTTTACGTGAAATAGCTGCTGACCATCGGAAGAATAATTCTTAAAAGGATTGTTCATTTTGATAGGTTATAGTATAGGAGGTTATAATAAAAGAAATTAAGAAATCTGTAATATAGCAATAAATGCTTATCCGTTCATGGGGAGAATCTAAGGGTGCATTATAATAGTCTTTCATGCTGCAATGCTTATGAAGATAAGCATCCACCAAAATGTTTGTCAACTCAGTTTACATTATATTTATATTTGATTCAAATGAATGATAAAGTATGAAAAATAAAGAGATAACTAAACAATTAAAATTACCATGTATTAGATATGAAAAACCATGTTATAGTCAAATAAAGGTTTCTGTCGACTTATTGTGAAGTAAACCATACTATGTTCGGTTTCAAACCAGTACGAGAGCCCCAGAGCAGTTTTTAACTTACAAGGTAGTTTATAAGGTATGATGTCATAATGTGGCAGCTAATTTTGTTTGGAGTATTGCATTCGGAGGCCTTACAACATTGTAACGGCTCCAATGTGAGATACAACATTGTAAACTGTTTTGAGCATTTGGCCTTTTATTGCTCACAATGGCATATTCGTTTCACATGCCCCTCAAGTCATATTTTTTCTTAACATAATGGTCACATCATCCGGATTGTAGATGTTAAGTGGGACTGTCCCTAAGCATGGGTGCGGGTAGTTTGGGGTACCTCCCTGTTGCTGTGTCAGCAATTTTCACCCTTCCACACTGGCCTTAGAGGAGCAAATATGATGTGTTGTATTTTGATTCATTGGTGTTAATTCAGATTTCTCTGTCTCTGTCTGTCTCTCTCTCTCTTTCTCTTCAATTTAACTGCCCCACCCCCCTCTCCCTCCCCCATTTATGGACAGTTCCCTTAAGTGGGCAAGAGATATAAAGGGTGAGAATGTGAATACGTATGCAATGGGAGGAGAAAAAAAGCTGAATCTCCAGTTGTCTATATACTGTTTACAGGTTACAGAGTTCAGTATTCACCAGGTAGTGCATTGCTTTTGATACTGAGCAGGACCAGAAACATTTTATGATTACCTCATGATAAGAATATCTTTACATTTAATTATTTAAATTTGGAGTGGTTGGATAATGAAATTTACTTTTACTTTTTACAGGTGGAGATGGGAAGAAGGATAAGAAGGAGGATGGAGAAGAATCCAAAATGGAAATGGATAAAGAGACAAAATAAGATTCTTTTACAAAGGTGCTTGAATAGATGTTTAGTTTTGTCTAATAAATTTTGAGAAATATTTCCAGGGTGGAAGTAGTATACAATGTTTCAACTATTGTATTAAAAGAATGATATTTTCGGATGATTTGCAAATTGTAATGATTAATGCATTCTGTACTTTCTTATATAAATGTGTTCCTTTTATACGAGTTGGTTCCATAATTTTAATTTCAACCTGACCAACTTTTAATGGCTTAAGGGCATTTGCTTTAAATATATTATTTTGATATATTTGTCTAATTGCTTGGTTTGTAGTCATCAAACTCATAAAAGTGTATGTTGGAATAGTATGTGGTTGATGTTTAATATCATCCTTTGTATATTTATTATCTTCATTATAATTTTTATGATTTTTATTTTCATATTCTGCACGAAATGGTTACAGGCATTAGTTAATATCCTTAAATGTGTCAAGTAAGGCAGAACATATATATAAAATATATATATATATTTGAAAATTCATTTACTCCAAGTCCAGTAGATTTATACATGTGTGCTGGCAGACATTAATGCTATCCCCTTTATAGTGTAGAGTGAAAAGAATAAATCTGAATTCTGCCGGCAGATTAAGGTGGCCTGGTACTTCCTTTGATAGGGAGAAACCATGTCCTTTTAAGCTATCGGTTGTCTCGCATCTCAAGGGCTTAGCATCATGATCCACCAACACGTCCATTGGAAGTCTGACATTAGGATTAAGAATCGTTAAAAGTTCCCCACCCTCCTTTCCCTACCCCTCCTCCCCCCCCTTTTCCCCGTTACCTTTCCCTCCCTAAATATTAATGAGAACTAGTCATCGCAATTGCTACTTGGTCCTCATGCCCCAGAAAGCAGTGCGGGGTAGCATATTTCGTGCTAGTTGTTTTAAACTTAAAATATTTCGAGTACAGTATAAAATAGATCTTTTAAAAGGAAGAAAGGAAGGAAGAGAGAAAGATAAGGATGAAATCATAATTTGATAATACAGAAGTTTTTTGTAAAATCTTAGGTGAAAAGTTGTCATATAATCAATTTGTAATTCAAGCTTTGATTTAAAGTCAAGAGTGAGGAAAGTATCTGTTACTTTGTTTTTTGAGTAAAGAAGTGTAATAACAAATAATCAAAATGGAGAAGGATTATTGCTTAAGTTGAAAAAACAATACAGAGTACTAGGTATAGCTTCTAAAACAATGGTACATGTAAACAAAAAAGCATTTTTTGAATTTTTAGAGGTGAACTTTGGTTCTGCCAGCTTAGCCAAAATTATCTTGTAGCTTATAGTTGTTCCTCAGTGGTGATAGATTTGTTTCTGGTTATTAGGTATCCTTCTCCGAAAGTAAAAGCTATTCTGTATAAAAAATACTGTTCAAGAATTATTCAGTGCAGTGTGCATCTTGCTCGTTTCATGTAGAACAATTGGATGATTATGCCCTCTTTTCCAGTGGGTTCTGTTGTGTCACATAGGTAAAAATAAAAAAAATATATATACTAATTGAATATTTTTAACCATTCTACATCCTTTATAATGAAAAAATACATAGTTGATAATCTTAGTCTGTGCATCCTAGTATAAGCTATATTACCTGTTGATTGAAATACCCAACAACAAAAGAACATTTCGAATGGCAAAGTACTCCATGTAGGCCAGGAAAAATATGCTGCATAAAGCAGTAGTATGAATTCCTTGCTGAACACATACTAAAGTAAATTTACAGGCATTGTAACTTACGTAAACTTTATATATCAATTTAAAGCATAGATAAACAGTTCAAGAACTCTTACTACAATATTTCTTTGGAATTCAAAATGTAAGAAATTTCTAATTAATTATATTTGCAAAAGCTAAAGAATAAAAATAAGCTATTTAGAGGTATATTATACTTCTGGAATAATTATCTATCAAATTAAAATACCAACTAATTAGAAAATTCATATTTTTTTATTCCATGTCATTAAATGGAGTCAAAGCTACATAAAAATATATATTTTATTTAACAATAAAATACTGCACCAAAACATTTCTCATAAACTGTTTAATACATGGTACTTATGCAATATCACTGCTGTAGAAATGAACATTTCTTCACATAACTTAAAAAATACAAAAAAGAAACCAGTAAAGAAATTCTTCGTACACCTTGTTAAAGTTGTGACGGAATTTGTTTCGTGTAAAAAAAAAAATAAATAAATAAATAAAAGAAATATATAAACCCTTCTACATATGTCTTTAAAATCAAGCTTGTAAAGCAAAATAGAAGTTTAAATCCATGCTTTGATTGAAAGGATTGCCCTGCTTACCTTAACTACACTAGAGAAATTTTACTTCAGTATTATGCCACAGATCTAAAGCATGTATAGTAAAGCAAACTGCAAATCCTCATGGATGCATTCTTCCTGATTGCTTGTAAATGATAATTTTGGACTGCAAAAATCAAAATAATAATGATAGTCTGATGCCAAGAATTTAGCTATGACTTGTCACCTTTTGTGTGAGTATTGATTATCAATATTCTTTTTCATATTTTTTTTTCTCCAAGGGACTAACACTACTTCCGTTTTTACAGCTTCTACATTTGCCATTAATATGGATTAAAGAGGTTTCATTTCTGAACAAAGGACTCCTGGTGCTGGAACTATGCCTGTGGCTTGTCACAGAGGCCAATCATTTTATACAGGTTGTCGTTATCAGTCAAACAGGTGACCATGAAGTGTCCTAGGTCGTGCTTGGAAATTGTACGACCTGGTCCCTTCCCTTGTGCTGTGATGTAGTCTCCCTTCGCCGGTTCATCTGTTTAATTAAAATAATAATAATTAATATGTTATGATACTTTTTTACTGATGTTTAATTTTTAATATTGGGCTTACCATGCGCTTAACGGTGGTCTGGTCCTTGAAACTACGGCTTTTTGAACACTAACTCCCAAATACGATAATAGTTGCCTTAAGGATGGCATAAACACTAGGATATTTCTCACGCCTTCCGATCGAATAACAGTCTCCGGGCTAGTACAGTGGTAACGTGTCGGCCTCTCATCCGAGGGGTCGGCAGTTCGCTCCCCGCCCAGGTGCGTGAAGTTGTTATTATCGCCTGGAGGTTACTACTGTGGATGGGCACCATGGCGGGTATGGACTAAACTCAGCCGAGTCAGCACCAGCTGACACAAGTTAGCGAGTCGGCATTAGTCGACATGGGCATAGCCCGGGAGAGGCTCAGCTTATCATCATCATCATCATCATCATCATCATCATCATCATCATCATCATCATCATCATCATCATCATCATCATCATCATCATCATCATCATCATCATCATAATCATCATCATCATAATCATCATCATAATCATCATCATCAATAATCATCATCATCAATAATCATCATCATCAATAATCAATAATCATCATCATCAATAATCATCATCATCAATAATCATCATCATCAATAATCATCATCAATAATCATCATCATCAATAATCATCATCATCAATAATCATCATCATCATCAATAATCATCATCATCATCATCAATAATCATCATCATCATCATCAATAATCATCATCATCATCATCAATAATCATCATCATCATCATCAATAATCATCATCATCATCATAATAATCATCATCATCATCAATAATCATCATCATCATCAATAATCATCATCATCATCAATAATCATCATCATCATCAATAATCATCATCATCATCAATAATCATCATCATCAATAATCATCATCATCAATAATCATCATCATCAATAATCATCATCATCAATAATCATCATCATCAATAATCATCATCATCAATAATCATCATCATCAATAATCATCATCATCAATAATCATCATCATCATCATCAATAATCATCATCATCATCATCAATAATCATCATCATCATCATCAATAATCATCATCATCATCATCAATAATCATCATCATCATCATCAATAATCATCATCATCATCATCAATAATCATCATCATCATCATCAATAATCATCATCATCATCAATAATCATCATCATCATCAATAATCATCATCATCATCAATAATCATCATCATCATCAATAATCATCATCATCATCAATAATCATCATCATCATCAATAATCATCATCATCATCAATAATCATCATCATCATCAATAATCATCATCATCATCAATAATCATCATCATCATCAATAATCATCATCATCATCATCAATAATCATCATCATCATCAATAATCATCATCATCATCAATAATCATCATCATCATCAATAATCATCATCATCATCAATAATCATCATCATCATCATCATCATCATCATCATCATCATCATCATCATCATCATCATCATCATCATCATCATCATCATCATCATCATCATCATCATCATCATCATCATCGGGGGGCTAACGCCGGTAGGGGCGCATAGCCGCGTCCACCCTTCGCTTCCACCTGCGAGGGTCTCTCATGGCGAGCCGCCAGGCAGGGACCTGGCACATCTCTAGTTCCTCACGACAGGTTTGATCGATCTGCCCAAGCCACGACCTTCTCGGTCGTCCCACAGGCCTCCTCCACCCAGGGTTGTCTCGAACCGAGACAACCTGATGGGCAGGATCATCCTGCGGGAATCGAGCCAAGTGGCCATATAGCCTGAGTTGGCGATCACGGATTGTGCAAGTAACAGGTCCTGTACCGGTCTCACGGTGTAGCTGTTGGTTGGACACATGGTCCCGCCAACTGTACCCCATGATCCGGCGCAAGGATCTGTTACAAAAGGAATCGAGACGAGATTCCAAAGCACAAGATAGCGTCCAAGTTTCACTACTATATAGTAAAACTGGCAGTATCAGGGCCTTGAAAACTCGTAGCTTGGTCCTTCTGCACAGGTACCGGCATCTCCAAATACTCTTGTCGAGAGATTTCATGACCCCTGCTGCCAGGCCAATCCGTCTACTGACTTCCTGGTCTGACAGCCCAGAGTCATGACCTGCACTACAGAGGTATATAAAACTCCTTGTGACTTCGATGTTTTCACCGCAAGCACGTACCGACTGCACAGGGTCTCCTAGTAGGCCCCCAAAATCCTGGATCTTGGTCTTGGTCCAGGAGACCTCTAGCCCCAGGGGCTTCGCTTCATTGCTAAATGCATCAAGAGCCGCCACTAGGGTTTCCAGAGATTCAGAAAGAATGGCAACATCATCACCAAAGTCAAGGTCTGTAACCTTGATATTGCCCAGAGTTGCTCCACAGTGACTTTGGACAGTAGCTCTACCCAGTATCCAATCCATGCAAGTGTTGAAAAGTGTTGGTGCAAGAACACAGCCTTGCCTCACGCCTGAACTAACAGGAAAGAAGCTCGACAGGCCCCCACCACACTTTACAGCACTTTCAGTGCCTGTATACAGGTTTGCTATTAGCCCAACAATCCTTGTTGGAATTCCTCTCAGTCTCAGGATCTCCCAGAGTGATTCGCGATGCACCGTATCAAACGCCTTCTTGAGGTCGATGTAGGCTGCGAGCAGCCCACGTCCGAACTCACGACGGCGCCCTACAATGACTCGAAGCGCCAGGATACGGTCTATTGTGGACTTACCAGGAGTGAACCCAGATTGCTCCGGTCTTTGGTGCCTCAGGAGGTGGTCTCTGATACGTCTCAGTAAGATGTGGGCGAGTACCTTGCCTGGTACACTGAGCAGTGTAATGCCTCGGTGATTGCTGCAGTCCCACCGATCCCCTTTCCCCTTCCAGAGAGGGATGACCACACCCCTCAGCTTCGCATATCGAACTCATTTCCGATCGGTTCACATGATTCATCTACCATGAAAATTCTTTGAAGTTAAAGTAAAAAACGACTGTGTGGAGATAATAATCTAAAAAGATCTACCCTGTTTTAGTGAACACCAACCTGTAATATGTGGTGGAAGAACTGCTACCCATTCCCGGCTGCTCGCCTTTAGAGCTTCAAGCATGCGGGAATGGTCGTCCAGTATATTGAGGAATCGCTCAGGAACCTTTTCACGCTCCCAGAAGTTGAAGGCTGAAAAACACGATTGTAGTTTAATAAGACGCATAAATAAATGCACATTATTCGTCAGGCCACATCATTTCGCACACGATTAGCCACAACAGCTTTCTTTAGGACATACATTATTTTTTTTTAAATACACAAAAATTATGAAGATAGAAAAGGGGTATTTACACGAGAGACACGCAGACACACGATTAACGTTGTACTTCTCCATAGCGCTGAGAACATTCTTCGTTCCCTCTGACATCATCGTTGTAGGACCTATAACGAGAGTGGTAAATAGAATGGATGTGGGAGTTTTTTTAAAGTTATATGTCTTCAAAATCCTTTCCTCCAGTTAAATAAACTTCTTGAAATATATATATCAAAAGTAAACAACTCGGTGTATTTCCATGCGTCATATAGAAGTATCCTTATAGAAGAAGATACTAAAAATGGTAAGGGGGGGATGTAAAGAGAAAGGAAGGGAAAAGGAGGAGAGGGAAGAAAAAAGGAAGGGAAGTGGAGTGCAGTGAATGGTTAAAACAAATAAATGTGCTAGACATCAAGATCTTATAACAATATGATGAAGTATAGAGGTGAAAAGGATAGAAATATGTTAACGATTAGGGTAAAGTGTGTCAGAAGTTAGAGGTTGAAGAGCACTCTAGGGGCAGTATGGTAGTGAAAAGAGGGAGAGCTGATGGGCTGTAGTAGTATAAGGTAAGAGTTGTTAAAAGGGGAAAGGAGTTGAGGGAGACGGGCGATTAGATCACGTGGAGGATATGTGTCGGGAAGGAGAACAAGTTGTAAGAGGAAAAGATAAGGGATTCCGAGAGGATATCCAACCGGTTGAGGTCGGAGAAGTGAGAACAAATGAGTAAAAACAGAGATACTGGTTACTGTAAAGCGGGGATAGTAGAATGTGTGGAACTGAAAGAGGAACGCTGCATGAAGAGCACAGAGTTGGATCAGAACGTGACATGAGATAGGAATGTGTGAGGCGAATGTGTCCTATGGGTAATCGGGCACGAGCAGTTTCCCAACTTGTCTCCTGATGGAAGATGAGGTGAGAGGAAAGGAGAAAGGAGAAGAGAGGAGAGGAGAAAGGAGAAAAGGGGAGAGGGGAGAGGAGGGATGGGAATGAATGAAAAAGGGGGAGGAATAGGAAGGAAACCAGAGAAAAAGAAAAAAAGGAAGGGATGGGAAGGAAAGGAAAAAGGGGAAGGAATGGGAAGGAAAGAAAAAAGGAAAGGGGTGGGAAGGGAAGGGAAGGGATGAGAAGAAAAGGACAGGGAAAGAAAGGAGAGTGAAGGGGAAGGAAAGAAAAATAGAGAAGGGGAGGAGAGGGAGGGAAAGGGAAGGCAAGAGATGGAAAGGAGAGAAGAGGAGAGGAAAGGTGGGGAGGGGAAGGGATAATGAAATCAAACCTCACTTAGGTCATTCCGCGTGCCGATGACAATGACAACGGCGTCCTGCCCTTGCACAGCATCGTCAACCTGATTTTCATTCAAGATGTCACCGACCTTCACGGTCACTTGAGAAGCCAAGGCTTCCGGCAGTTTGGCGGGGTCGCGGATGAATACGGTCGTGTCGTATCCTGCAGTGAGAGATGGGGAGGATTAATTAAAAATAGTGATAATGATTGGCATAGCAACAATTATGATAACATCAGTAAAATAACAGATACAACAAAACTATTAATATTAAGAAATTACGCTAAAAACAATAATAATGACAGTCACATAATTCCTAGTACATCTATTACAAAACATAAACGTTATTGCCGTAGAAACCGAATAATCTTCATTTCATAACTGATGACTTACGAAGTATAGAAAAAAATCAGAATATACGAGTCAAAATAAAACCATTTCACCGTTGTAAGGTACTGAGAAGTAGGCGAGAGAGGATATTCCCTTTACTAAAGCGGGTTTACCCGCTGACCCTCTCTTTATGTCACTCTTTTTTCCCAGTGGATTTTGGTGTAATGGGTTCATTATCCCTCGTATGCTCATTGCCGCGATATGCGAAGGTGACGGAGCGGTAGAGGGAGAGGGAGCTTGAGACATATGGTGAAGGAAGGATAAGAGGAAGAGTGTGGGAGACAGAGGAAGTGAGGGTGGGAGAGAGAGGGAGTGAGAGGGTGAGGGGAGAGTAGGAGGCAGAGGGAGTGAGAGGGTGAGGGAGAGAGTGGGAGACAGAAGGAGGGAGAGAGTGGGAGGCAGAAGGAGGGAGAGAGTGGGAGGCAGAAGGAGGGAGAGAGTGGGAGGCAGAAGGAGGGAGAGAGTGGGAGGCAGAAGGAGGGAGAGAGTGGGGGACAGAGGGAGTGAGAGAGCGAGGAAGAGAGTAGGAGAAAGAGGGAATGAGAGGGTGTAGGAGAAAGAGGGAATGAGAGGGTGAAGGAGACAGAGGGAGTGAGAGGGTGCGGGAGACAGAGGGAGTGAGAAGGTGAGGGAGAGAGTGGGAGGCAGAGGGAGTGAGAGGGTGAGGGAGAGTTTAATGACCTCTCCCCTCTACTCACCCTCGACTTCCCACGGTACCCAGCACTTTACTGGTTATCGCCTGTGCCAACCACAACCTGCGCCCAGAACGGAACGACATTGACAGGTGCCCCCAGAGCAAGTAATTCCGACCCTTACCACCGATCACTTTATAACAACATGTAAACTTATACCTTGATTATACTCAAAACGTTTGTCAGAAAATCCTTATTCTGAATCACTATGTTTGTAATCATTATTACTGACGATACTGTTGTTATCAAATGTTCACAATTTAATTGTACCGACATATCCAGTGTCCCCATCCAAACATGCGAGCGCAGGAATCTATGACTTGCCATAAAACAGAGAGTATGCACTGACACTCCTACTAAAGCGGGAGAGGCTTCGCATATTGCATTAAATAATAATGGTTCCTATTTTCTTATGTTTAGTGACATTCTTCTAACTGTATCGTACAAAAACGACCTGTGATGACCTCAAAAACTTAGAGCCGATGTCACTCTGCCCTCAGCTTCGGCTCGGTCAACACCTCAGGCTCACACAGACTGCTCGCCCTCGCGGGCATGGCAAGACGCTCCTGCCTGGAAGTCTCTGCCAGGCCTGTCCTCGGTACCCTTGGTATCATACTCCCGTGTTAATAAATATAGCACCTACGACAACTTTAAATCAAGATCAAAGTGGGGACATATCCTCCCTAAATTATTACACTGGCAGCAGCAAGTGGGATAAACTCACCACACATCATTACATAGGTGGCAGACTAGAGGGATAACTCCCCCCTTCATTACACAGGTGAAAATGCACTGGTATAATGCACCACACAATCCCTCCGAAGATAATGCATCACACGAAGCACTCTAAAGATAACGCATCACACGAAATCCTCCGAAGACAATTCCTGTAAGTGAAAACACCGTCGACTTCTGTCACTCCAAGACTTCATCTCGCGATACATCTACGGACTTCCGACATCAAGCACAAAGGTGACTGACATCTGCAACATCAATCAACATTGCCCTGCCAGTACCTCAAGTATCCTCGCCGTTCTCATTTGTTTGTGAAATCCCCTGTGAGGTGAAGAGTCTGATATTCTCTCACTCTCACCTGTTCTCCTCCCCTTATAGAAAACGAGATCTCTCCTCAGCTAACATATGTTTCCCGCTCACTCTGCATGCCCTGCGGTTTGCCAAACTTTTCTCTTTGGTACTGTCATTCCTCTGTAGTTCTGTCACCCTATTAGTACTAATTTTGTTTTGATGTTAATCTACGTCGTAATGATTTCTGAATCCACACGATGCTGAATTCCAGTTCATTCATTATGAATTATTTCACAGGAAAATCTTTCCTGTGTTGGTTTGCACGTTTTCAATAATCATCTTCAAAGGAAAAATCATTCCTGCTTCCTAGCATGCTACTACTCTTACTTAACTTCCTATCAATCCTGCATTTTCGCATGCAACTACTCTCATTTCCCTGAAGGAAATATATTCTAAATATAACCTGTATACCTACATTTTCATAGGATTATCTGTTGTCTTCTGCTCTTGCACATGAATTCTACATATTATTTTAGTGGAGAATCATTCCTGTATTTTGCATGAATCGTAATTTCCTCAATATTTTATTCTGCAATCTTGATTGTTTATTACAACCTTCAATCCCTCAGGTGAATGTTACATTTAACACTCTATTCTGAATCCTTGACACTACCACGTACCCAGCACTCTACTTGTTATCGCCTGTGCCAAGTTTGACCTGTGCCAAGTTTGACCTGCGCCCAGAAAGGAACGACAATGACAAAATGCCCACAGAGCAAGCGATTCCGACCCTTACCGTCGATCACTTATATCTTGATTATACTCAAAATGTTTGTTAGAAAGTCCCTATTCTGAATCACTATGTACTTAATCATTATTATTGATGATGCTGTAGTTATCAAATATTCACAACTTAATTGTACTGACATATCCAGTGTCCCTGTTCCAACATGTGACCACAGGAACCTATGGCTGCCATAAAATAGAGTCTGTATTGACACTCCTACTAAAGATTAAAGTTTTCCTTTTTCTTATGTTTAGTGACATTCTTCTAACTGTATCGTACAAAAATTATCTGTGATCACCTCAAATACTCAGAACCGAAGTCACTCTTCCCTCAGCATTGGCTCAGTCAACACCTCAGGCTCACACAGACTGCTCGCCCTCGCGGGCATGGCAAGACGCTCCTGCCTGGAAGTCTCTAGGTACCATACTCCTGTGTTAATAAATATAGCATCTGCGACAACTTTAACTCTACTACTCAAGACCAAGGCGGCAGTACCATCACAGTGGGGACACGTCCTCCCCACATTATTACCCTGGTGGCAGCAAGTGGGATAAACTCACCACACATCATTACATTGGGGGCAGACTTGTGGGATAACCTCCCCCATCATTACAGACGGTGAGGGAGAGAGTGGGAGACAGAGGGAGTGAGAGGGTGAGAGGGTGAGGGAGAGAGGGAGTGAACGGGTGAGGGAGAGAGGGAGTGAAAGGGTGAAAGAGAGAGGAAGACAGAGGGTGTGGGAGAGAGTGGGAGGCAGAGGGTGTGGGAGAGAGAAGGTGAGGGAGAGAGTGGGAGACAGGGAGTGAGAGGGTGAGGGAGAAAGTGGGAGGAAGAGGGAGTGAGAGGATGAGAGAGAGTGGGAGACAAAGAGAGTGAAAGGGTGTGGGAGAGAGTGGGAGTGAGAGGGTGTGGGGGAGAGTGGGAGTGAGAGGGTGTGGGGGAGAGTGGGAGTGAGAGGGTGTGGGGGAGAGTGGGAGTGAGAGGGTGTGGGGGAGAGTGGGAGTGAGAGGGTGTGGGGGAGAGTGGGAGTGAGAGGGTGTGGGAGAGAGTGGGAGTGAGAGGGTGTGGGGGAGAGTGGGAGTGAGAGGGTGTGGGGGAGAGTGGGAGTGAGAGGGTGTGGGGGAGAGTGGGAGTGAGGAGGGTGTGGGGAGAGTGGGAGTGAGAGGGTGTGGGAGAGAGTGGGAGTGAGAGGGTGTGGGAGAGAGTGGGAGTGAGAGGGTGTGGGAGAGAGTGGGAGTGAGAGGGTGAGGGAGAGAGTGGGAGTGAGAGGGTGAGGGAGAGAGTGGGAGTGAGAGGGTGAGGGAGAGAGTGGGAGTGAGAGGGTGAGGGAGAGAGTGGGAGTGAGAGGGTGAGGGAGAGAGTGGGAGTGAGAGGGTGAGGGAGAGAGTGGGTGTGAGAGGGTGTGGGAGAGAGTGGGAATGAGAGGATGAGGGAGAGAGTGGGAGTGAGAGGGTGTGGGAGAGAGTGGGTGTGAGAGGGTGTGGGAGAGAGTGGGTGTGAGAGGGTGAGGGAGAGAGTGGGAGTGAGAGGGTGAGGGAGAGAGTGGGAGTGAGAGGGTGAGGGAGAGAGTGGGTGTGGGAGAGAGTGGGAATGAGAGGATGAGGGAGTGGGAGTGAGAGGGTGTGGGAGAGAGTGGGTGTGAGAGGATGTGGGAGAGAGTGGGTGTGAGAGGGTGAGGGAGAGAGTGGGTGTGAGAGAGTGAGGGAGAGAGTGGGAGTGAGAGGGTGAGGGAGAGAGTGGGTGACGGGGAGTAAGAAGTTGTGGGACAGGAAAAGAGAGGTGATAAATACATAGGTAGATACGGGGATTGACGACTGACGAGCTGTATTTTATCTATTATTTGAAAATTTATCTAAGGTCATTAGAGACGAATTCAAAATATAATGATAGCGTGAGGCTTGGGGGTAAGGGAGTGCCATATGACATCAAAGGTCTTATTGTAAATTAGAATAGCGAAAAGGGTTAGGAACGAGTTAATGGTTAGGGTAAATTATAGGTTGAACAGTACTAAAGGGTGGCATGGTAGTGAAAAGGGTAGAGCGGGATGCTCATGGGGTATAGTACAAGGTAAATGTTGTTAGAAGGGGAAGGAGTGAAAGGAATTAGAGAGCATTATGATAAAAGAATTATGGTGAAAACGGCACAGATGAATTTAATGATCAGGATAAGTGGACAGAACAAGGAAAAGGAAAGGTGGAGACGAAAGACCATGCAAAATTAGTTGTGACGCGGACTGAGGACCAAGGTAGGGGGATACCCTATATTGAGA